AAATAGGGTGAATACATCTCATTACACTGATTTACTGGTAGTCTCGAAACCCTACTTACTTACGAGTATTGTGTTTGCCTCAATGCCTATTCTTGATCAGATAAATAGGCAAAAGTAAACAAAAGACCATGAACGAATAAACTTTATGTTCCGAGGGATTACTCTGTTTACATTTGTCGAGCTCACTTCCAGTTTCGGGTAAAATTGTGTGTAAAGTAGAGATTTAAGGGTTAATCTAACCACAAAACGACGGATTTACTGGAATCTTCTGGTTGATGCTGTACCGGGTCACATAAAGGCCCATAAACACACACACACAAACATAGGTATGTACATGCTTTCAGCTTGACATATGACCAAGTTGCGAAAACGAGCTCAAAGCAACGCTATCAGTCCTCGCCTTACCCAAAGGAGCCAAAGCTGATTCAAAGTATTCCAAATACAGAAGTCATATCAAGACATGTCTACGAATAGAAACAGAGTTTCTATTAATTTCTTGGGATAACATTATTGTGGAGACTTTCATTACATATAAAAACACCTGATGAAATCAAAAAATAAGGTATATATTCTAAATATAGATAGATATAGAATGGTTTGGTCACTTCTCTAATATTCAAGTGTGCCTCTCAGCGTGTGTGTGTGTGTGTATGTATGTGTGTGTATGTATGTGTGTGTATGTATGTGTGTGTATGCGACTGCATAACAACGAGACTCAGTGGCATACAACCAACCAAACGATTCTATATACATCTAAATCTATATATTTTTGTTATGAGTATATATAACAGGTAGAGTATAATATAATTGTCTTCTTGATTTAGTGCTAACTTGACTGCTTCATCTAAATATTGTGGCATGACTTTGCATTTCGGAAGAAAAGTTGGTTGGAAGTAATTCGTGATGTGATCTCATCGAAAACCGAAGGAGGATTGCTGAGTGGTATATTTTTGCTCTATTTCGTGAAGTATTGATACCTGCTCTGGTGTCTGTCATAGTGAATACGAAAGTTTAGCACAGTTTCATCGGGGTCGCAGGACGGTGACCCGAGGACTTGTTCGCACAATTCGACAGTCTTGCCTGTGCAGGAATCCTCATTCGGTTTCCGATAAGATCGCATCACGAATCCATTCCAAACAACTTTCCATTCGAAATGGAGAGTCATGCCACATAATTCATTAAGCAATTCTTCGAAGCACAGTTTTTCTCAGCATGCTTAATCTAAACACTGTGGAAAAACAACAGGACTCAAGCGTTGCCTTCTGGTGAGATCGACTCAAAAATATCTTCATCCTGCCCTTTCATACGAAATAAAAATCTCCACGACATGGTTTTATGACTGAATGACCATTCTCTGAGTCGGCCGAACTCCGTTCCCTGCCACACTCATGAATGTCTCGGCGACCCGGGCAGGCTTCTGAGATATATTTTCAGGATAAACTGCCAGTTTTACCGAAGCCTTCGGCTGTTCCTGCGGCAACGACGGTGCTCCTTGACCGTCCGCCCTCTTCTGGCCCCCGACAGATGGCACCGGCCGTGGCTCAGTCTGTCCTACGCCTGGCGGACGTCCGACGCCTCGAGACCCCGGAACCCCGAGAATTCGCTCAGCTGGTCTGTTTAACTGAGGCCTTGACGACGTGCGAGTCGTCAGTCGTGTCGCCGAGTTGAGTCGACCGCTTCTATGACAGACTTGCCGGCCAACACAGCCACTCATCGACATGCTGCCTCGGGACCGGGTTGCCTCAGACACGGCTCGAAGCGGCCGACGTGAAGACATTTCCACGACCAGCGATTTGACCGATCGCCCTGGAAACGCAGCGATGTTGTAAGGAGGATACAGTGTTCCAGGTACCAGTTAACGGGGGCGAACGTGCAGGTATGCATTCCGATGTGGGCAGAGAGGTGGACGGGGAGATTTGGGTGACCGGTTTGGTAAAGAATGTATATGGAAGATAAAGTGGGAGCGTGAAATCAGTGGAAATAGAGTTTCCTTACCCACCCCTTGCCCCACCTTAGAGGCCGGCTATGATGGGGCTACAGGAGAGCCGCCAGCAGAATGACAAGTGGTACTGAGCCTGTTCTGAGACGGAAACAGGAAGCAGAAGAGAGAGTCAAAGTGCAGGAGGACAAGAGGGCGGTTTATGGGGTTTTATGGGGGGGGTTCTGAGGGCTCAGAGGCATGCATTTG